TCTGATAAAGGCCAAACAGAATGGAATATGTCCTACTCTATAAGATTATACTGAAAAAACTAGCAATAGCCCCCTCGCCCAGCTAAACCATCATCACTAAGTGGTTACTTGAATTAAATTTTCTAAGAATGAGGGCAGCTTTTTTTTTTTTTTTAAAGTTACTGAGGGTTGTTTAGAAGAAAACAAATCCTTTTTGTATCATGTGAAATGAAATTGACTTGCACTAATTATAGAAAGCAATATATTCATAAATAGTTTCTAAAATCTATACATAAAGATAAATAAAGCTAACACTAAACAAAACTTTTGTTTTTCAGTGAACTTTATAGTTTCCAGACCTTTCCTATCTTTTGGGGCACCTATTCCCCACTTTAAGCAGTCAATGTTATCCAGTTTTTTCTTACCAACTTCACATTAAAACAGAAAGGGATCTAATACAGTTATTTACCTTATTCACATATATATATGTATGATTTCTAATGATGCACTTTAAAACTTTCATTCAATCAGAAACATCTCACCCTTGTTTAAAATCTTTAAAATATAACCAAACAAATGAGTCTGAAATAAAACAACTTTCTTTCTCTATCCCCCCACAGTGTCCAGATGGCCAAACAATATATAAGGAGTCAATCTACTCCTGGAAGCTGCTGAGGACACGGCCCACATCCCTTCCCACAAGCTTCCTGCTAAATTTCATTACTACCCTAGAACACTCTATTCTCTCTTGGCCTTTGCATTTGCCCTTTTCTTTCCACCTGAGCACAAGTCCTTCTCCTCCCCTAACATTGGTTAGACAGTAATCTCTGCTAAATTCATGGGAAGAAAAGGAAAGCATACCTCCTCATCTGTCTCAATACTCCTAGCATATGTATATATGTGTTTATAAACAAATAGGCATAATTTATACTTTAATCTTTTGGCATATGATTTTTATATAGTAATTTAATCTCTACAAATCTAACACAACAAAGACTGATTATTTCTAAAGCTTCTGTACAGAAATATATTTCTGAAAATATTCTTTACTCTTTTTTTTTTTTTAAACAACTCCTCCCAAATGAGAAATGTTTTTCTTTGGGGGTGTTTTTCTTTTTCTTTTTTTGTTTATTTTTTATTAATATAGCCATTTTTCTATATCAAATTATGAACAAAAGTAAAATCAATCTTAATGCTCCCCATCAGGGGCTGACTGGCTGGAATCCCTCTTGGCAAAAGGGATCCTCTAAAATTGAGTTGCTAGCCATGAGAAAAGAGATCAGATAATGCCTCATCACGTCCCCCCACCTTCTTAGAGATGTCTTTTGTGACTCATCAACAGGCCTAAGGACATACCTGCAAGTCCTCAATACATAATAAACCATTTGGGTTAAGGTACATGTCCAGTAGTTTGTCTCTGTCTAACAGATGCCTATCTTTTTCTTTTTTTAATTTAATTTCAAGTTAATATGAGGATGCAAGTAATTAGGTTATATTGTTTGTGTTTGTAAAGTTCAAGTTATAGTTGAGGCCATCACCCAGGAGGTGTGCTGTTTATACTTACATTGTGCCCATTAAGTGAGAGCTACCAATCCCCCCTTTTCTCCCCTCCCCACTTCTCTCCTTCCCCCTCCCCCCACTTGAATGTAATTGTGTGGATATGCAGTTGTTTATTGATTTCATTATTGAGTACACTGGACATTTGCTTTTCCATTATTGTGATACTTTACTAAGAAGAATGTTCTTCAACTACATCCAGGTTAATACAAAAGATGTGAAATCTCCATCTTTTTATGGCTGAATAGTATTCTATGGTATGCATGTATCAGAGTCGATTAATATACTCATGTGTTAATAGGCACTTGGGTTGATTCAACCTCTTGGTGAAACTGCAGCTTTGGGACTTTGTGATGTAGCCTATTCTCAATGGCAGACCCTTATCTTAACTCTACTATTCCTTTTTGCTGACTCCTGGTCTATTAGACAAAGCCTAATTCTTCCAGCCAATTGTTAGCTACAGAATATAGCTTCTTTTCCATTGACAAAACTAACCATTCCTCATTTTCTATCAATTATTTGGTTTTGATCTTTAAGTTAGGGGTACTTAATCTTTTTATAGGTTACCATAATTTTGAAAATAGAGTGAAACTATGAACTGTCCCAGCTGAAACGTACAAACATACAGAAAATTTTGCATAGAGATTCAGTTAAAAAATTCTCTGAGGTCCACCCATGAAACCCAGGTTAATAACCTCTGCTTCAAATAAATTTAAGAGTCTTATAATTGCTCCTGTTAATTTTGCTAAAAATGGACATTTCTTTAATTTCTAAGATTCTTTATGATTCCATTCATTTTTTTTCCTGATTATCTAAAAACTAAAATTTCCTCTATTGATTGATTGAAAAAGAAAAGCAGGGTCAACTATACTGTAATGCCCATATAAATGAATGTTTTCTTCCTTTTCTTAGTTCTTTGTATCTTTCTGGGGTATGATCTGCTAGGAATATCTACATATATCCAAAGCCATGTATTCCTAGCATTAACACTCACCTTCATTTATAGATTACAATTTAAAAACTTATTGAAGACTAGATAGAAGTACTCCTAGAGAAATTCTTTCAGGGTCTAGAGCAGGGGTCCTCAAACTTTTTAAACAGGGGGCCACTTCACTGTCCCTCAGACCGTTGGAGGGCTGGACTGCGGGCCCCTGGGATGAGCTGGCTACTAAGCAGGACAGGCAGCAGCGGCAAAAACACCCAGCGGGCCAGATAAATGTCCCAGGTGGGCTACATGTGGCCTGCAGGCCATAGTTTGAGGACACCTGGTCTAGAGCACTGCCTCATGCATAGTAGTTGTTCAACAACTTAAGTAAAATGAATAATATGTGGAATGGAGTCAGAACAAACAACGAGAATTACCTTTATACCTTACATATGAACTTTATAATGCAGCAATGTAAGTAACACAGAGAATTAACTGTAATTTTATAGTTATCCCTTACATATCAAAAACTCAAACCACAATCATTTCAAGTTTTAAAATTTAAGTTCCAAATTCTTCCAATTCTCTATTTATATCTGTAAAACTCTGATGTTTATACCAGTGTTTTTCTACCTTTTTAATCTCATGATACACTTGAACCTATAGTTAAGCTTCTACGGCACACTCAAATTATGTTGATCAAAATAAGAGTAAGAAAAAGAATATACTTAACTGTGCTTTGAACTTGTTTCAAAAATAATTTAATTAATGATCTTTACAAAATTTCACAGCACACCTAAGATCCTCTCATGGAACACCAGTGTGCTGTGCAGCACATGGTTGAAAATCACTGGTTTATACATATGAAAATTTACTACTGATCTACTATCAATGGACATGTAATTGGAGTTATTTTCCTCTTGAAAGTTTTTTTGTTTTTGTTAGACAGTCTCTCTATGTTACCCTCTGTAGAGTGCTGTGATGTCACAGCTCACAGCAACCTCAAACTCTTCGGCTTAAGCAATTTTCTTGCTTCAGCCTTCCAAGTAGCTGGGACTACAGGCACCCACCACAACGCCCAGCTATTTTTTTTGTTGCAGTTGTCGTTGCTGTTTAGCTGGTCTGCACTGGGTTCAAACCCACCAACCTGGGAATATGTGGCTGGCGCCCTACCCACTGAGCTATGCCGCCCTGAACTGAGAACTTTTATGGCAAATGTGATCTTCCTTGAGACCAATTTCCTGCATTTGTAAGTTAGTTGCCATAGGTTGAGACTTTTGACAAGGAAATAGAGTAAGATTAAATGGCCTATAAAGTAATTAAAAGTATACAAACCTTATTAGCACCATCCGTCCATATAAATATCTACATATACTTACCAAAAAAAACTCTTAAAAAATCTACATTAAGAAAACCTCAAGAAGCTAGCATGCAATACTTGGTCAATAAATGTTTTGATATTGTTTAAGCAAATGACACAGGCATAAAAAATACAAAAAACTTAAAAGTATAAGTCTTATCTAAATTACCAATTTAATCATTCAGAAAATCTTAATAAGGACTAAAAACCCAGCGGAGCACTTCTGGCCTAGAGGGTGAATAATGATAGATAAGATATCCAGGATAGGGCGGTGCCTGTGGTACCAGCCCCATATATCGAGGGTGGCAGGTTCAAACCTGGCCCCAGCCAAACTGCAACAAAAAATAGCCAGGCATTGTGGCGGGACCCTGTAGTTCCAGCTCTTTGGGAGGCTGAGGCAAGAGAATCGCCTAAGCCCAAGAGCTGGACGTTGCTGTGAGCTGTGACACCACAGCACTCTACCGAGGACGACAAAGTAAGACTCTGTCCCTAAAAAAAGAAAGAAAAAAGAAAAAAAAAGACTTCAAGGATATATACATTAGAACCTCTGTTGACCACTCAAGGAACTATAACAAACTGATCAACATATGGAGGTGGTCTTACAGAGGTTCTACTGTATATATATCCTTAATTTCTGCCCTTTAAGTTGACACTCAAATTTCAGGCAACAGGGCCAGGCACAGGGCTCACACCTGTAATCCTACCCTTCTTGGAGGACAAAGGTAGATCACCTTAGCTCAGAAGCTCAAGACCCACCTGAGCAAGGGCAAGATCCCATCTCTACTAAATATAGAAAAACTAACCAGGTATTGTGATGGGCACCTGTTCCCAGCTACTTGGGAAGCTAAGGCAAGAGGATTTCTTGAACCCAAGAGTATGAGGTTACTATGAGCTATGACATGGCAACACTCTATCTACAGTGACAGAGTGAGACTCTGGCTCCAAAAAAAAGTTTCAGGCAATTAAATAATCATAGTCATTCTAGCATTTCATTTTTAGACATTTTTAATACTCAGTGAAAAAAATTACTTGAAATGATATTTTCATATTAAAAATTCAGCATAAAAGTGATTTTAAGCCAACCATTTCCATCTGACTAAATACTAAGTATTAAAACATTCACATTGTCTTGAGGTAGTACCGTTGGATATATCTTGAGTACTAATATAGAATTCTTACCTGTAATGTACATGAGTGACTGTTGGTTTCCTGTATCCAAGAATCCAGGTTTGAATATCTATAGGTTCAGCTTTAGGATAGGCTATCGTTGTATCTATTATCCACTGGAGGCCTTCTGATTTCCTGCCTGAGAACAAAGAATAAAAACAACTTAAAATTAGACTAAATTTTATACCACTTACAGCAAATAACAAAGCTTATTCAAGCAGTGTAAACCATATCAATTTACCTTTTTCTTTAAGATAACAGGATAAACTTTGGTGTTGCAATGCACTTAAGATGAAATTAAGCAAAGTATATTATGTCATAAAATGGATGGACCTCAAAATTAATAAACAACAGGATACTATTATTTACTGGACATGTACCATTCTAGTATTCAATAGAATTATACACTATGAAGGTCTAATTTACATTTAACACTCCTATAAAACAACTAGCCTTTGAGAAGTCAGAAGCTAAAGTATCACATCACAGAAATGAAAAACAGACTTCAAAACCAAACCATTCACTAAACACAGTATAACCTGATATACAAACATCAAAATTTGTGATATTTGGGAGACATTAATAAATATTGGAACAAGGCAATAAAATTAAGCAATTTTTTTTTTTTTAAGATAGTCTTAAGCTGTCACCCTGGGTAGAATGCTGTGGTGTCATAGCCTCCAGCAACCTCTAACTCTTGGGCTTAAGCTATTTTCTTACCTCAGTCTCCCAAATAGCTAGGACTACAGGTGCCAACCACAACGCCCAGCTACTTTTTTGTTGCAGTTGTCATTGTTGTTTTAGTTGGCCTGGCCTGGGTTTAAACCCACCAGCCTGGGTGTATGTGGCCGGCACCCTACCCACTGAGCTACAGATGCTGCCATTAAGCAATCTTTGGACACATATTATCAGTTGCTCTTGTTTAAAACAAAGTAAAAAAAACCCTCCCCCAATTTCAGCAAGAGATATATACAAATAAAGCAATAAACTTTCCTTCCCTTTGGAAGGTAAACTGCTTTTGAGGGGAGGGGGTGGGGAAGTTCAGTTTAGTTCAATCCTTTGAGTAATGTTTTGATTCTCAGTATGGAGTATCAAGTTGAGCAAGACTCAAGTGGGAAATCCTCACAGAGAACGCTGAATGCCAGATTTTAAAGTGTAATGGTTTATGCTTTGAAGTATTTAAGAGAAAAAAGAAAACCCATTTTCAAGCATAAACCCAAATGTGCACTAGGAATCAACGATATATTACTTTTGTAGGTCAAATAATTTTTAAAACTGGCCTTAAATACTCTGAAGATTTTAGAACATCCTAGGAGGAAAAAAACAAACAAAAACAGGAAACAAGTAAAAAAACCTGATTTTTAAATAAGAGGTATTATTAAAGGAATAGAGTTTATGTAAAGAAATACACCATAACAAGCTACCAAGGATATATATGCTGAAACGTTTAATAATAAAGTATCCTGATGTCTGCAGCTTATTATTTTGAGATGCATTAAAAAGAAGAAAACCAAGATGGACTAAAGGATAGACAGAGGGATGGTGAGAGATATGACAAAGCAAATATGTTAAAATGCTAATTATAAAGTCTAGTTGGTCAACTCGTGTATATCTACTGTAGAAATCTTTCAACTTTTACGTATGTTTGAACATTTTTATAATAAAATGATACAGGAAAAAGTCACCAGTTCAGTCTAGTATCTGTTAAGTGGTATGGTAAACAAACAAACAACAACAAAAAAACCCCAATCCTTTTAAAGTTAATCAGACAGAACTCAATTTTGATTTATGAGTATAAATCACATTTTAAAACAAATACAAAAGCATGGTTTGTGTTTACATGGAATACGAACAGTAAAGAAAATAAAATGCAAACTATCAAAACATACAGAATAGTAAAACGTGAGTAAAACTACTCTTTAGGTATACTTATGATTTTTTTTTCTAAAGAGCTAGAATACAAAATTTTAATTAAGGTAGGACAAAACAATAAACTACTTTGCTCTCCTTGTAAACCAAAATTATTTATCTACAAAAAAATACAATTTTTTCTTCTCTATTATGCAATCAATATGACAACTGCCCCTACCTTTGAGATCTAGAACATTACAAGGTATTGACTGGGTGGAACTATTTTAAAACGACAGTCTTTATTAGAGCAACTAATCCTGTCTGGACGACATTTGCTTTCAAGCTTTGGCTTGGCTGACATTGCCACAGTGTCTCTCCAGCAGTGAAGCTATTCTGAACTTTCCTTTTCTATTAAAAGACTCTCAATTTGTCTTTTTAATAGATGATGAAAGATTAAGAGAGCTGACTGCCAAGCAGCTACTTGGGGAAAAACAAATGAAAGGAAAACTCAGTTAAATCTCCTGGGCATTATTTCTGTGTCTGGTCCTTATCTCATTTAAAAAACACATATTTCTGAGGACTAATGCTTCAGTTCTTATTTATCTAATGAGTATTAAAAGAAGTTGCAAAGTGCACAAAGGAAAAAGGCTTAGTGTCTTTCAGCTTTTTAATTTATAACCAAATTTTCATAGCAGTATCTTAAATAAACTTGTTCAAGCTATTGGCACAAATACCTTCTGCAAAACTTCATAATTTTCCAGATAATTTCCAAGACAGTTCCATCTTTGAGTGTGATTTATTTTTTTCATGGCCATAAAAGTAATATGTACTCATTATTTAATAAATGGAACATTTAGAGAAGTATTAATAAATGGGGAAAAATAATGTTAAAACTCAGAGAAGCAATCAATCTTAATATTTTGATCTCTTTCCTTTTACTCATGTCCTCCTGTCTTACTGTTCATAAATTTTTTTTTTTTTGAGACAGGAGCCTCAAGCTGTCCCCCTGGGTTAGAGTACTGTGGCATCACAGCTCACAGCAACCTCCAATGCCTGGGCTCAAGTGAGTCTCCTGCCTCCACCTCCCAAGTCGCTGGGATTACAGGCACCCGCCACAACATCCAGCCATTTTTTGGTTGCAGCTATCATTGTTGTTTGGTGGGCCTGGGTTAGATTCAAACCTGCCACCTTGGGTGTACGTGGCGGGTGCCTTAGCCACCTGAGCCACAGGCCCTGAGCCTGTTTATAAATTTGAGTATAAATTGTTTTCACAATAGTATATAGTATATTATTTCCCCCACTTTGATATCGCAAACATTTTTCCAAGCCAATAAAAACTTTCCACAAACATCATTTGTAATGGCTGTGTTGTATTCCATTGCATGAATAATTATTTACTCTCCCTCTGGCTATTTCCAATTTTTTGCTATTAGAAATAATCTGTGAAAACTTCTTTGCCTGCACTTCAGAGTATTTCCTTTTGACAAGTATCATTTCCAGTGGAATAACTAAGTCATTTATTAAAGGAAATACTTTAAGAGTATTAATAAATATTGTCACATTGCATCAAGTTCATTCTCTGTGGCCTGGCATGGTGGCTAACACCTATAATCCTAGCACTCTGGGAGGGCAAGGCGGGTGGGTGCACTGCCTGAGCCAGGAGTTCAAGTCCAGTCTGAGCAAAACTGAGACCCCATTTCTAAAAGTAGCTGGGTGTTGTGGCAGGTACCTGTAGTCCCAGCTACTCAAGTGGCTGAGGCAGAAGGATCACTTGAACCGAGGAGTATGAGGTTTCTATGAATTATGATGCCATAGCACTATACCAAGGGTGACAAAGTGAGACTCTGTCTCAAAAAAAAAAAAAAAAGGGCGGCGCCTGTGGCTCAAAGGAGTAGGGCGCCAGCCCCATAGGCCAGAGGTGGTGGGTTCAAACTCAGCCCCAGCCAAAAACTGCAAAAAACCAAACAAACAAAAAACCAAACAAAAAAAAAAAATCCATTCTCTATATTAAAAACACTTTCTAAACTTGATAAATAAAAGCATGTATCATTATTGTCTACATTTGTATATCTATCATTAGTTTTTCAAACAAGTCATTTCTATAATTATATCTTTCAACCTAGCAATTCTATTTCTAGGAATCTATAGTACGGATAGATAGTTCCACCAATACGTAAAGACATTTACAGGTATGGCTTACTGCAGCAGTGGGCATGGCCCAGGATATGGCTAAGTAGGGCAGGAGAAAGACACCTTGCCTTTATACATTTCTGTATTCTTTGAATAAATTATTGTAAGTATGGACCACTTTTGTACATAGAAACATTTAAAAGATTACAGTTTCATCTTCTAAGTATTATTTCTATTTAACAAAAACTACAAATATAAAAAAGAACAAGCATCATCCTCTGGAACTCCAGAAAATCCTTTAATTCTAACAAGGTAAAAAAATGCTAAAAACCATCATACCTAATTCTTTAGCATCTCCTCCTGCAGGACTCCCATTTTCCTGTCGTGCTACAAGTGCACTCAAAATAACTTTTGTCGCCCCACACCTTGGCAGAGTGACATGTGTAAGAGATGGCAAGTCATTTTTCTTGGCAAATGCCTGACTTGTTTCTCGCCTCTTCCTGAGGAAGCCCCCTTCTGGAAACAAAACAATCCATTTTCGATCTCTGCTTCTGTAATAATTTTCTAAGTGCTTCTTGAGAAGCAGCAGCTGTTGGTCACGATAAGATCTTCCCTAGAAAGTACAAACACATGTAATAAGTACATTTGAAATTAAATGCCATAAAGTAGAATAATTTAGAATTAATTTAATGCCATAAAATTAGAACTGCTAAATTAAAATCCAATCACAGAATAGAATAGTGATCCCTCCCCCCTTACTTCTCTTTTGACTAAAGTGGTAAAAAGGAGAAACTATTAGCACTTAACATAAACCTTTCTTTCTGAAGAGAAAGGAAACTGTTCTGATTGCTCCTGAAAGTTTGGCCATTCACCAATTCGGTGACTACTTGCTGAGTGCCTACTATTTGCCAAGTATGGCCCTCCACACTAGGGCTATAGGCAGAAATTAGAGTCCCTCATGGAGCCTATACCCTAGTTAGGGCAGACATTAAATAGGGAATGAGAATTCATTTGGTGATATATGATAGGAAGAAAGGAGTAAGAGGACAGAAAGCTGCTCTGAGGTGGTGACATTTGAGCCCAGAGCTGATAATGTGAGAGAATAAGCCACTGAAGATGAGAGGCATAATGTTCTATGGTACAAGAAAAAAAAGGGACAAAGACCCTTTGGTGGGAACAAGCTTGGTATGTAAAGAATAGGACCAAAGCCAGCCTGGAACAGCACCAAGGCCAGTGTGGAATAGCACCGAGGCCAGTGCAGTGGAAGTGTGATGTACGAGAAAGTCAGTCGTAGGGGATGAAATTGCAGAGGGAGGTGGAAATCAAGTAAGAAGGGTTTTGTGCATAGCAAACAGCTCTGAAGGGGACATCTTGGAATACTTTTCCACAAGAAAGTGCTATAATTTTATTTATATTTACAAAAATTCTGCTGACTCCTGTGACAAAAGATTATAGGAGACAAGTTAGGAGACTATTGCAGTTTGATGAGATTCAATTATAGTATATTGATGAGAAGTTGGGACATTCAGAGAAAAAACTAAAAGGAAACAGGATATTCTGATATGGATCTTAGTTGTGAGGGAAAGACAGAAAAGACGATGACTTGAAGACCGAAAAGCAGAAGCCATAAATATTTGTAGGAAGGACCAAAACTACAACTAAATATCACAAAGTTTCTTCCTTTCAGTATCATCAATTTGCTAATAATTTTTCCAGCCAACACAATTACAGAAGCTCCTCAAAATAAATAGTATGCTTCAGTCTTCAGATTAAATGGATCCCATTTAAAAAGGGATCCATTATTTAAAGACATTTTCTTAGCTAGCTTTCTGAATTGAATTATGATTAAGATACTAAGTTCCCAAAACTACAAGTAAAATATTTTTATTATTCTTAGAAAATCTTGTGAAAATGTAGTAGCAAAGTGCCAAAAGATTTTTTTAAACATTAATGCTTTTTTTCTTCCTTACCCCCATTTCATAGATTTTTATTACTAATTGAGAAGGGAAAAAAATGTTGCGCTTTAAAAATGAATTTGCAGGGCAACACTTGTGGCTCAAGGAGTAGGGCGCTGGCCCCATATACTGGAGGTGGTGGGTTCAAACCC